GTAGCCTTGTTCTTCAGCAGCACAACCGTGCCAGAGTAGCCTCCCTTGTGACCTAAAACCTTCGATGTTATCTCCAACTCATCCTGCTCCATCAATCAATTTGACCAAATTTAACGATCAAAACAGTCAAATGCAAAAAGAAAAAAGAAAAATATTATTGCAAGTATTTCTTTTTACATGGAGCTTGGCGGTGGCCATGTAGGAGATGGAGATATCAGTGGAGACCTTCCACGGGTGCCCATCGGAGTGGATCGCAGAAAACCCCACCTCATCCACCAAATTTGCTATAGCCCCCGGCGACAAGTTCCCGTCCTTGTCCTGGGATAAAATAATAATAATCATAGAAGATTAATTAGTAGAGCCTGAGATGATGAAAGTAAATTGGGGGGGCTTTTTATTACAGTGAATCTTGGAGGGACTTTGAAGGTGCAAGAGAGGAAACCGGGTCGGACGAGACGGACTCTGATTCCTCGGAGGAGGAAGGCCTCGTAGAAACTGGTTTCCCCTTTCTCGTGAGGCCTCGACGGGACTGGGAGAGCTCGGACTCGCTGCTCCTGCTCTTCGTCGATCGACAACGCATCGCTTATTTTCTTCTCCATCCTCTTTTTCTACGGGAGGGGAGGGATTCGGGAGCGCCCTGAATTGGGGGATTCGGAGATTTTGGCGATTTAGACCAACAGTAAACGAACGCTTCCCACAAAACCCTTTTTCATTTCGTTCGTCCTACATATGCAATTATTATATTTTGTTGTAAGCAAATATGACTTTCTATCAACCAAAAAAAAAAAAAAGTGTAAAAAAAAGTCTTATTAATTAATTGTTTTAATACATTTATTTCTTTAAAAAAGCGTCTCACTAAATAGTATTTATTTTCCCCATCAAAAAACTTTAAATCGCACAGGTGCTTGCTTTCAAATCTAGGAATGCATTGTTCTTTTTCAACGTGATATTAATTCGATTCCGATTTAACTTTTGATGTATCTAAAAGTCTTCAGAGTTTTTAGTTAAATATAGAAATATATATTTACTTTAAATTTATTCGTGCTTGATTAATTAATAGCTAATCTATCAATTTAATTGTTTTGAGGGGATCATAATTGAAGTAAATCTTTAATCGATAGTCGCATTACCAACCAGATCACGAGAGTATTGTTGAGAATAAAAACTCTACTTTTATTAAACAAGCTTAGGCTTATAAATAACCTTTTACAATCTTAACAGAGAGAGAAACTAGCTACCGTTCTCAACGTGAACAATGCAACTAGAAAAAACAGGAAACACTAAAAGCAACTACCCTAAAGACTAGGGCTTATCTAAGACTTATTCAAAGCAGAACACAAATTTAACAAAACCCCTAAACTTTCTCTTCATTCCCTCCCTTAAACTAGTTTAATTCAGGAATCTGACGAACTCCCATCTGACTTCGAAACTTCTAAAATGCATCCATTGTGAGAGGCTTTGTCATTACATCTGCTACCTAGTTTTCTATTACAGTAATCCAATTCAACTACTCCTTCTTTTGTGAGATCATGAAGAAAATGGAAACGCACATCAATGTGCTTGCTTCGACCATGTAACACAGGAAAAGTCATCAATAAAGCATATAATGTACATATTCTTGCTGTTAGAGATGGGAGAGATTGGTCCGCAGTGATCTGCATGAACAAGTTGAAGCTTTTCTGTGGCTCTCCAATTGCTCTTCTTTGGAATTGGATCTCTATGTTGCTTCCCAATCATGCAGCTTGTACACACTGTTGTAGGAGTCTTGAACTGAGGTAACCCATGCACCATCTTTGTGAACTGGAGAGTCCTCAATCCCCTATAGCTCAAATGTCCATAGCGAGAATGCCATAAACGCGCCCTATCTTCTGTAGAGGTATAGAAGCAAGCTGGTTTATGTGATAGTGTTTGTGCTTGCAACACAAACATCTGATTTCCTGACATCTCCACCTGCATTATGAGCCCTTTCTCTGGATGATACACCTTGAGTATTCCATGTTGGATGAGAATTGTCAATCCTTTTTCTTGTAATTGACCAATACTCAACAGATTATTCTTTAGTTCAGGCACAAAAAATACTTCACTAACAACATGTGTAATTCCAACCAATACTCAACAGATTATTCTTTAGTTCAGGCACAAAAAATACTTCACTAACAACATGTGTAATTCCATTTACTTTCAATCTCATGTTGCCTCTTCCCAACACATTCATCCTTTTGTTGTTTCCCAACTTCAGTGCCTACCTAAAGCCCTCACCCAGGTCAGTAAACAAGCTCTTGTCACCACACATGTGATTGCCACATCCATAATCTAAGAACCAAATCCCCTTTTTGACCACCTTCAGCTCCATGTATGACATCAGCAACATCTCTTCTTTTTCATCCATCTTTGCATAGTTTGCATTTTCCTCCCAAGTTGGACACTCATATTGAAAGTGTCCAAGTTGATGGCATTTGTACGTAGCACTCCGTTGTGGCTTTGTTGAAGGTTTGGCGACCCCTCCCTCTGCCTCTGCCTCTTCTAAACACACCTTTCCCACGTCCTCTTTCACCGTGTTTCTCACCTTGAGAGCTTGTTCATTTCCATTGCTCCTTTTGAACTTCTGCCCATGAACTAATAGAGAACACTGCAATTCATCCACTGAAAGATGATCAATGTCTTCCGATTTTTCTATTGAACAAACAACATAGATGTACTTCTCTGTGAGAGTTCGTAGAATCTTTTCAACGATCTTTGAATCCGGCATATCCTCTCCATAGTTTCTCATATTGTTTGAGAGTTCGTAGAATCTTTTCAACGATCTTTGAATCCGGCATATCCTCTCCATAGTTTCTCATATTGTTTGCGATCAGCATCACTCTCCCAAAGTATCTTTGAATCCGGCATATCCTCTCCATAGTTTCTCATATTGTTTGCGATCAGCATCACTCTCCCAAAGTATTCCGTGATTGATTCTCCAACTTTCATCTCAAGGATTTCAAATTCTCTACGAAGAACATTGAGGTGAGATCAGCATCACTCTCCCAAAGTACTCCGTGATTGATTCTCCAACTTTCATCTCAAGGATTTCAAATTCTCTACGAAGAGCATTGAGGTGAGATCAGCATCACTCTCCCAAAGTATTCCGTGATTGATTCTCCAACTTTCATCTCAGGGATTTCAAATTCTCTACGAAGAGCATTGAGGTGAGCACGCTGAACCCTTTTGAGTTCCTTGAAATTTAGTCTTCATGGAGTCCCACAACTGCTTAGATGTTACCCTTTGAGTGATATATAGTATTCAAGATTGTTTTATCAATTGATTGAAATAGGTAGTTCTAGACCTTCAAATCCTATAGCTTCATCTCCTCCAGAGTTTTGCTCTATGAAGCCGTCAAAGTTTCTGTAACGCTCCAATACTCCTTTGATCGCAGGAGATTTTCCATGAGCATATTCCAATGGTCATAATCTCCATCGAACTTAGGAATACTCATTAAGTTTTGCCCTTCTGTTGCATCCTCAAACACTTTTCTCACAGTGTTTCACTTCTCTCAAATCCTTTTCTCACAGTGTTTCTCTAAAACACTTTTCTCACGGTATTTCGCTCAAACTTGTTAGGATACTGCAGTTCCTAAACTTTCACTACCAAACCTCTCCGTGGTCTCTGATACCAGAATGTTGAGAATAAAAACTCTACTTTTATTAAACAAGCTTAGGCTTATAAATAGCATTTTACAATCTTAACAGAGAGAGAAAAACTAGCTCACGTTCTCAACTACTCAACGTGAACAATGCAACTAGGAAAATCAGGAAACACTAAAAGCAACTACCCTAAAGACTAGGACTTAATCTAAGACTTATTCAAAGCAGAACACAAATTTAACAAACTCCCTGAACTTCCTCTTCAAGTATCCTACCCGTGCTCACCAGAAAAGCCTATTTTTTTTGTCGGATATATTTGTGCTTAGATCACTGATCCGCGTATCAGTACCCACACCGCTGTCACTCTTTTAACAATGTCATCATTCACAGTGTATGCAACTATTTACTTATATCTAGTATCTTAATTGGGATCTTGTTTGGGTTAATCTGATCAACGGAGAGGGAATATTTGAATCTCACAAACTCTATTATCATGTTATTTTCAGATACAACACTCGCGACGTTTAATAATT